TTCCATTTTAAATAAAGCAATTACCTGTTGTTGATTTGTTAGTGTTGACAAAAAGTAGCACTGATTTTTCCTTTGTATTACTTAGTTGAAAAGATATTTTTAACTAAATGTTATACAAGTGACATTAAGTGTCTTTCAATTTTAGGTATTCCACAACCTATAAACGCATTTTGAAAAGCAATCAATATAAAAAAATGTTAAATTTTACCTTTAAAAGAAAGAATAATTTTGAATCACTCAATAGAGATAAAGAATCAGTAATTTAAATGTATAGGTTACTCACAATGTAAAAGCAAAAGTAGACACAATGTCCTCATGTTGATGTTAAAGCTGCCTTCTAAGCTTGTTTTCACAGAAATGTACAACGGTGGACTGCAGTTCTTTAAGCTTCCTGTTGTGCCAATTTGGTTAACACTGACTTTTGAACCACTTTAAATTCACACAGTCATCGGGTTCTACCACATCTAAAACAATCATTTATCCCTCTTACACAATCTTTTGTCTCTCTGAATACACTCACATGGTGCTTTTATTATAATTTCTCAAGCTGCCCTGTGAGCAAATACATTTGAGACAAAGATATGTGTGTGTAAGAGTAGAATCTACTTAAAATATATCTATATGAGAGTGGGGGTATAATTTTTGGCTTGAACGGTATCTCATGAAGCCCGTTCTGGTTTCCAGATGTAGTCTTTAACTAGAACAGAGTAAATGTGGCTTCATGATAAAGCAGTCCTAGAGGAGGATGTCTATACAGAATAGAAGAATTTAAAATTGTAATTAAATTCTTAATTGAGTTCTCCTATGAAACCAACCAACGCTTTTCACCCAAGCATAACTCTTCTCCAGTATATGATAAAAATGGTAAGGGACAGTTATTGGGTAGTACTGACTAATGTGGACAAGCTTTATTCATTTTGAAAGACAGAGTATTTCATTATAGAACAAACATTTTGCATTGTTCCACAATTGTTCAGAACAAAATATGTGTCTTATAGGGAAAAACAGATGTTCAGCTACAGTAAACCGAGATTGTACACTTTTTCAGTTCTACAATTTTAGATACTGGTTCAATAAATTATTTTGGTGCATTCAAGGAGTATAAGCTTAAGAACAAGGCTGTGGCTATTTATGTACATAAATCGAAACTAAAATGCAAAAGAAATGTTAATGTAAAAAAAACAGTTTGCATAAACATATTCCTTAGAGAATAAGAGGTTATCATCAGTCATATGAATGCATAGAGCTGTGATCATCAAGTGGCCTGACTACCTCTATATAAGTAGGCGTTTAGCTCTCAACTAGTCTAGGAATGTGTTAACAAAATGTTAAGACAAGAACATAACAGTTCCTTCCCAACAACCCTTGAAAATTAACAGGATTATTCAAGAATTTCTGATATATTCTAGGACAAAGGCTAACACTGCGGATTCTAGTCTATCACTTTTTTTTTTACATAAAAAGAGAGTTCAAAAGAGATTTAATCCTTGAAACTTAGGACATTGCCTATTATTGTTTTTTTTATTGTTTTAATTTGAAATCAGTATATTTTTTTATCATACAATGTGTTTTTCTGGATTTTTGTTTTCTCTCACAGCTGAAGTGTACCCGTGATGCATCTCTCCCATCTAAGCAGGAGTTCTTTCACAATCAGTGTCTGTACATATTTGTTTAAATATATTTCTGAATGTTTAGGTCTCCTCTAAGGAGGCTTATTCTTGGTCCTTTTAATGTTATTCTTTTGAGCTGATGTCTTTGGAAAAAATCACTGTAGCATAATGACAAATACTCTTGCTACTAGATTGATAGCCGAATGGGTTAAATTATACAATTGAAATAGACAGAGCTGCAGATCTATTGTAGAATGAGAAGAGAAAATGATAATGGTGGCACAATATACATGGAGAGTTTAGATAACCGATGACAAATTGGAACATCACACACAAAAAATGCACCATTACCTTTCTTCCTTCTCGCTCCTTTAAGTGAATGAACTGCAGAAATGGAACATTGATGCAAGTGTGTCTGAATAAATGCATCCCAACCTGAGTGAGAAGCAGCAATACCATGAGAGAGTGAAGAACACCAATGACCACAAGCACATTTCTGCAGAGAGAATCATAGCTCTTGAAGGCTTTGTATTTTGCTCTGTTGCAACAACAAACTTCAATGTATTTGTATCTTATAAACCGATACAAAGTAATGCTAAATTATGAGATGGTAGGAAAATTGTACATCATTTTCAATTGTTTTAGAAATAAAACATTGAAACGTGTGGTATGAAGATAGCGCCCTGTTTTTCATCTTTCTCTTACACAGCTTGGGCCAAACTTTAAAGAGGTATTCTTTTTTAAGTGTTCTTCACAAGGGAAGTAAGTTAGTCCTCCTTTTTTTTCTTTTTTTTTTTTCTTTTAACAGTGTCCCGTCTGGCAATGTGGCAATAAGAATAATTTTCTTGATGCCAAAAAGAGCCCAACAGATTTTGCTTTCACAAGTGGAGCAGTACGGCTATCGCCATATGTTCAGCTTGATTTATATATATAAATTGCTTTATTATAATTCATGCAGGGAGTTTTACAGATTATATGGACACTGCAATGTAAAGAGAAGCTGAAAGAAAGAGGAGATAAAAGGGAGACAATGATAAAATGTCCTCTGTCTGCTATATCACCTGCAAACCGAGATGTAAAAAAAGAACAGTACAACCAACGGATATAGTAAGAGATACAATAAAGTAATACCTTGATACTATCGCTAAAGTATAAGTCAGCGGTCACCAACGTGGTGCCCGCGTGCACCGAGGGGCCCTCAAGGACCACATGGGGTGCCCTCAGCATTTTCTTAAAACAGAACAACTCACCAGTGGACTAAGTTTGAAATTTTATTTTATGCTGTTGCTCTTATTTTTCATCATTTATAGAGCATTTCATCATATCAATAATTTAGGACATTAAAGCATTCATAGAGATTTCAATTATCTAAAAGAAAATTAGAAATGAAAATAATCAATAGAAATATGTTTATTATCTATAAAGTTTAGGTGAATGCTGACTCTTCCAGTTTATAGTTAAGTATTGGTAGCCCGTCCTATAACTCAGTACCCATGAAGTAGCCCTCAGTCTTAAAAAGGTTGGTGACCCCTGGTATAAGTAGTTTTATTAAATCTGACATGTATACTGTGGTAGCTGATGATAATAATATGGGCTTTCTGTATGGAAGTGAATCTCTAAATACCTGGAGCCAAGCACCTGTAGTTTTTTGTAAGAGTGCGCTTGTGCATGTAAAGTATATCCAAAAGAAAAATGCTCAATAGTGGTTATAAAGAGCCGAAGAAGAGACCCCCCAGACACCAAGCACCACCAGTGAGCCAAAGCGCCAGCCAGCAGAGGGGGGCAGAACAGGGGGAATGGGCTCCACACTTAGCGGAGACTTGAAATGTTCTTGGGACCTGAACCTGACAAGTAAAAAAAATAATAATAACCAATTGGTTGAATTGGCTGAAAAGAAAAGCGTGCCACTTTCGTCTGATATTTATCTCCAAAAAAATTCAAACACATGTGCCTTTTCTTTCACTTCACAACTTTTGTCTTTTTCATTAATCCAAATAAAACAAACCAAATTAACGATTGGAGAATGACAAAGGGTAAAACATTCTAAATAGTGTAAAAACCTTTTCAATCAGTACTAAGATTTAACTCACTGCTGCTAAACCTTGTTACACCGGTTAATATTTCAAAGGATGTGCTTAGCTTGAACTAACCCAATTCAGATTTTTTAAGTGTATCCCACAGCCACTAGATGTCACTATCCTACTAACTAAATGCATTACACCTGTTGATCAGAGCAAAGTGTTGTTGGAATGTCTTAGTTCACCTTTGACAAAAAACAAAAACAAAAAACAAAACAAAACTGAATGTTAAAAAAGTTAGATGAGGGATAATTGATCTTCACAAGTGGGCAATAAACGTCCTTCAGTGTTTACTTTCTAAATGTTCTTGGACCATTTAGAAAGGAGTCTGACACAACATGGCAGAAAGTTCCTCTGCCTGCTTAAAAAATACTTTGGAAAAAGGCAGATTCCAATAAGTGAAGTTTACAAGGAAGAGAAATAAAACATGTAAATGAAGAAGTTTTTGAAAACCTCATAGACTTTCAGGATTCTCAGTCTTCCTTTAACCACTTTCTGTTTTCTGTCTACGTCTCTCTTTCACTTCTGGGCTGTGTCCTGAATGTTGTCCAACAGGCTGTACCACATCCACTGCACTTGGACTTTTAGAGGTTGAGCTGTTTGGACCTGCTTAAAAGCACACATGCTTTATTTTTCTTAGTGTTTCACTCCTAGTCTTATGTTAATAGAAACTAATCAGCCGGGTGACTTTAGGACCCAGTAAGAGACAACCAGGGGGCGCGTCAGTCTGCTTAATCTGACCACAGAACGTGTAAGCTGACTTTTGCTTCCTCTGTGACAGTTCATATGTTCCGTCACAGCAGTTCCTTGATTAACAAGTCGCAATAGAGAAGTGCACTAAGGTGCCACTGCAGGATACAGCAGACAGCCCCATGATCTGTGGACAGGGACCTTTGTGATCTGACATGCCTGAGAGGGAATCCTTATCCCTCACAGTGTACAGCCAATCATGGAGCAGCAGGCCCTGATTCTGAGGAGCATCCTGGCCCAGCTGGAGAGTCAGGAGAATGCTGAAGAGGGGGCACCAAATGGCATCGCTGGGGAGTTTGCGGTGAGTCAGCTGTAAAAGGTCATGTGTTAATGTTCTGTTTTTTAAACATAATTCCTCAATGAACTTCTCAGTTTAATCTTTGACCTTTCAGATGGAACCATGTAGTTTTTACTGAATGAACAGACAAGATCTTAAACTAAAGAAAAGCTTACTGTGTTTCTAGTTTCTAATTAGTGATATTCAGCAAAAAATGTAGCAACTGTTTTATTTGCGCTTTAATGCTTCCTCTTTCTCCACCAACGAAACATGAGTGAATTGGATTGGGTTTGACACTGTTAATAAATACCGTAACCCCTCACACCTATGGTTTCACACACAGATCTAATTTTTAAAGGTGTTGGACCTCGTGTTTGACATCATGTGTGGCAAGCTGCAGTGCTGACTGATACAGCCCCAGGACAGCACTGTTTGTTTCACATGCTGCCCCCTCTGCTGTCACAATAATCCTCTCCAACAGGACGCCTTGTTGCATCACTTCCCTAAAGGACAAAAAAGACTCTGTGTTGTTTGAGACATGCACTGCCTGCAAGTCTTTCAACAGACTCTGGAACTGAGTGCACAGGCCTCTGAACAAAAGGAGCAGTGTCTCAGAGAGTCCTGTCAGCATGGATGCGCCTTAATC